TATAGATTTCGTGTATTATAAGAAAAAAATTTAAAGCAAAAAAAGGTTTATTTCGCAAATGCAACCAAATTTAAACATGCAACGTTCAACATTTTAGAGGCCCTTGGGGGCGAAATGCCAATAAAATGTTTAGACCTACCAGAAGCACAGATAGACAGACACGCTGTACAGAAGACAGACGGTCAGGCAGGGATGTAAGTTCTTAAAGAAAAATTCATCTGTATTCCTGCACAACACATTCACTTTTTTTGGAGGCTTAAATGCTCCATTGAATCAAAAGGATGTACTGCAAACGTATGTTCATAAATAAGTCGTCCATGCCACATGATGTGTGTGTTTAATTCAATGTTATGGGATGCATTTACTTTATTTATTTATGTATACTGCACTTTTGTAAAATTGGAAAAGTATTTTGCTTTCATTTTAAAACCAAGCAAAGTTTTAATAACTTCCTCTATATTATAACGAATTGAAACAAATGTGGCTTTGAATTTTAAACTCAACTATAACTGAACTAGAACTGAACTAGATCTGAACTAGAACTGAACTAGAACTGAACTAGAACTGAACTAGAACTGAACTAGAACTGAACTAGAACTGAACTAGAACTGAACTAGAACTGAACTAGAACTGAACTAGAACTGAACTAGAACTGAACTAGAACTGAACTAGAACTGAACTAGAACTGAACTAGAACTGAACTAGAACTGAACTAGAACTGAACTAGAACTGAACTAGAACTGAACTAGAACTGAACTAGAACTGAACTAGAACTGAACTAGAACTGAACTAGAACTGAACTAGAATTGAACTAACTGAACTAGAACTGAACTAGAACTGAACTAGAACTGAACTAGAACTGAACTAGAACTGAACTAGAACTGAACTAGAACTGAACTAGAACTGAACTAGAACTGAACTAGAACTGAACTAGAACTGAACTAGAACTGAACTAGAACTGAACTAGAACTGAACTAGAACTGAACTAGAACTGAACTAGAACTGAACTAGAACTGAACTAGAACTGAACTAGAACTGAACTAGAACTGAACTAGAACTGAACTAAAACTGAACTAGAACTGAACTAGAACTGAACTAGAACTGAACTAGAACTGAACTAGAACTGAACTAGAACTGAACTAGAACTGAATTATAACTGAACTAAAACTGAATTATAACTGAACTAAAACTGAACTAGAACTGAACTAAAACTGAACTAGAACTGAACTAATTCCTTTTTAGTTTACTTAGTTCTAGGTGCAATCAATTAAATCAATACAAAATAACACAATCTTGTGCTAATCACAATGTCATCTTAATAAATAAAGGATTCAAATTGTGTTGCTCTACATTTCAAAAGGCACTATTTCATCATATTTTCCTATTGACTTGAGGCGTTCCCATTCTGAAGTGATAAGTAAGAATGTGTGTCAATATTTAATAACACTGAATGTATATTTTTTTGGCCAAACAAAGCCGACAATATTAGGACCACCATCAAACATTTAGCTCTAATTTGTTAAAATAACACAATTTTTAACAAACAAGCAAAAGGATCAATTCAAATACCAAACAGAAGCAACAATTGAAAAAAGCAAATAGGGTTTAAATTTAAGGAAATTTTTTGAACGAATTGTGTTTATATAGAAAAAATTTAGAAGATATTTGTAAAGTGGTTATTTTTGATTTGAAGTTATTTAATATGAACGTGGAAAGAGATATTTCGATCTATGTAATTTTTCCAGCTGAAAATAATTTCTCGGAAAATGTTAATCACATTAAATAGATGTATTTAAATTGAAAACTGTAAATATTCAAATTAAGTTTAATAAAAATTTTCCACTAATTTAATACTCTACATGATAGTTTTAATTTAGGGAGGGACTTTTTTTATGATTATTATTTTCTTATTTAGAAAATAAACAATTTTCGGTTGTACAACCCGTGGCGAAAACAGAAGGACTGCCTTTTTTTGAACACAGTGACACAGTGTGAGCTCCAAACAAAAATACACAAAATGTTTATAATTTAAATGTTACGATTAACAAGACCATTTTTTTGATAGACAGAACCCCTTTAAAAAAAGAAGCAATCATAAAAAAATGCCAAATTTTTTTAATAAAATCAAATTACCAACAAAACAAGAAACAATATAAATGTTAAATAAACAAGGCAACCTGGTTAACAAGCTACATTTACTCGACCTGCAACAAAGCGTTGTACAAATAAACGGACACACAAACACTTAGGAGTGTGAGTCCAAATAAAACACGTTGGTGGTCTCAGGGCAAACAAATCATAAACGAAATATAACATCTTTAAGAAAACAAAAATCGACAAAGAAAATAACTCTAACAAAAAAAATTCTTAAGTTTGTATGTTTGTATAAAATAAATCGATTATAGAGTAGTAGTTATGTACAAATTTTTAAGCAAATTCGACCAACATTTTAAGACCAATAAGAACAAAAAATGCCCTATTTTTAGTTTGATATAAGATTCTTTAAAAAAGTTTGTAGATCCCAATAACTCCTCTTGGTATTGGTAAAGATACATGATTGATTTTATTTTCGAACAAAATTGAATATTATAAAAATATGTTACAAACACCATCAGAAACATATTATAATTATTCTCCACCGATAGCAGTGTAGGGTACAATATGTAGCTGATATTGTAGCAGTTTAACACAATTACAATATGAAATAAAAATTCTATTGACTCATACCAAATTTTGTTCAACTACCATTCATTGACTCTACTATATACAGATACATAACTTAAGTGATCATAATAATCATTATGAACCAAACTGAACAGCCAGAACAAAACTCCCATGAAAAAGTAAATATTAATTATGTACACATACATACATATGTATACATTGTTAATGTATGTATCTGTTAACTTCTACATGTATTGGAATTTTGGTTATATCTCGGTTTCCATTGGTATTTTTTTTTTGTAAGTTGATGTTCTTTTCGTTTTTGTGTGAAACCCAAAATGAAGGAAAAGAAATCTTAAACACAGATTCCCACATTCCTGCTGTGTTCATAATGGCCGCCTCTCGTGTGGTTATATATCATAACAACTCTTAACAAGCCAAAACAAATTCCATAAAAAAAAGAAAAAAAAAAATTCACTCTACATTCTGACTTGTTGTTTTGGGCTCTTTTTGTATTTCAAATTTCTCAAATTATGGCTTAAAGTAAATTTGTATATAAGAAAAAAGCTCAAATGTATGTATAACACAAATTATTGCAAGGACTGATATCAGCAAAACTAGTAAAACGCTATTAACCAGTTCAGTTCTAGTTCAGTTATAGTTCAGTTCTAGTTCTAGTTCAGTTCTAGTTCAGTTCTAGTTCAGTTCTAGTTCAGTTCTAGTTCAGTTCTAGTTCAGTTCTAGTTCAGTTCTAGTTCAGTTCTAGTTCAGTTCTAGTTCAGTTCTAGTTCAGTTCTAGTTCAGTTCTAGTTCAGTTCTAGTTCAGTTCTAGTTCAGTTCTAGTTCAGTTCTAGTTCAGTTCTAGTTCAGTTCTAGTTCAGTTCTAGTTCAGTTCTAGTTCAGTTCTAGTTCAGTTCTAGTTCAGTTCTAGTTCAGTTCTAGTTCAGTTCTAGTTCAGTTCTAGTTCAGTTCTAGTTCAGTTTTAGTTCAGTTCTAGTTCAGTTCTAGTTCTAGTTCAGTTCTAGTTCAGTTCTAGTTCAGTTCTAGTTCAGTTCTAGTTCAGTTCTAATTCAGTTCTAGTTCTAGTTCAGTTCTAGTTCATTTCTAGTTCAGTTTTACTTCAGTTCTAGTTCAGTTCTAGTTCAGTTCTAGTTCAGTTCTAGTTCAGTTCTAGTTCAGTTCTAGTTCAGTTCTAGTTCAGTTCTAGTTCAGTTCTAGTTCAGTTCTAGTTCAGTTCTAGTTCAGTTCTAGTTCAGTTCTAGTTCAGTTCTAGTTCAGTTCTAGTTCAGTTCTAGTTCAGTTCTAGTTCAGTTCTAGTTCAGTTCTAGTTCAGTTCTAGTTCAGTTCTAGTTCAGTTCTAGTTCAGTTCTAGTTCAGTTCTAGTTCAGTTCTAGTTCAGTTCTAGTTCAGTTCTAGTTCAGTTCTAGTTCAGTTCTAGTTCAGTTCTAGTTCAGTTCTAGTTCAGTTCTAGTTCAGTTCTAGTTCAGTTCTAGTTCAGTTCTAGTTCAGTTCTAGTTCAGTTCTAGTTCAGTTCTAGTTCAGTTCTAGTTCAGTTCTAGTTCAGTTCTAGTTCAGTTCTAGTTAGTTCTAGTTCAGTTCTAGTTCAGTTCTAGTTCAGTTCTAGTTCAGTTCTAGTTCAGTTCTAGTTCAGTTCTAGTTCAGTTCTAGTTCAGTTTAGTTCAGTTCTAGTTCAGTTCTAGTTCAGTTCTAGTTCAGTTCTAGTTCAGTTCTAGTTCAGTTCTAGTTCAGTTCTAGTTCAGTTCTAGTTCAGTTCTAGTTCAGTTCTAGTTCAGTTCTAGTTCAGTTCTAGTTCAGTTCTAGTTCAGTTCTAGTTCAGTTCTAGTTCAGTTCTAGTTCAGTTCTAGTTCAGTTCTAGTTCAGTTCTAGTTCAGTTCTAGTTCAGTTCTAGTTCAGTTCTAGTTCAGTTCTAGTGCAGTTCTAGTTCAGTCCTAGTTCAGTTCTAGTTCAGTTCTAGTTCAGTTCTAGTTCAGTTCAAGTTTTTAGTTATAATACAAATTTTATCACTAAAAATCCAAAATTCGTAAAAGTATTGAGTTAAGGCAATATTTTTGCAAATGCGAGCAGAATTTCTAATAACAATAAAATTTCTTATCAATCACACACATGCATACATAAGAATATGCATATGTATATGTATGTATTTCATACGTTTCATACAATTTAAAAATTATTACGTTCTCTTTTTAATGACGTATTGATAAAAAAGCACATGAGTCCAATATCTACACCATTTCAAATCTTAGAACTAAACTGAATCAAAAATGATAAGAAATTGTAAAATAAAAAACTATTTTCTAAATTTAATTGGAAATAGTGTTTTGGGGTAATTTACATTTTTTTATATGCTGCAGATTAAATCCTAAAAAGTACAATAAACAAATCTACATTTAATTTAGTATAAACCTTAACATTAAAATGAAAAGACTCGTCATAAATCTGGCATTAATATGCTTCCTAATGGAAACTATTTCCACAAAATTGGTGGGAGAAAAATTGTACAAAACGGAAAATAATAAAATGTATTATATTGAAGAAAATTATAAGGTTAAACACAAAATTTTAATTAAAACATAATATAAACTACATAATAAATTAAAACTATTTAGTATTCCTGGTATGAGGCTTTACTGCAATGTTCTTTGAAGAAAATGTCTTTAGTAACATTAGAAACTCTGGAGGAGCACGATGCTATAGCGAAAATTTTAAAAGAAGACAATTTGTGAGTAAATGTTTCTATTAAATAAAAATGTATTTTAATGTTAATAATTATTATTTAGTGGCCACCAAGGTCCTCATTTGTGGATTGGTGCAGTGGGTGGCAATCGTCTGTTTTCTTGGGTCTCAAATAGCCAACCAGTCTTCACTAACAAATGGATCCCCGGTAATCCAGATAATTATCTCCAAGAAGAGAATTGTTTACATTTTTGGGAAAATACAACGGAATTAAATGATCGTAAATGTGATTATAAATATGGTTTTATATGTGAAGAAACCGTAAGTAGGGAGGAGGTGGCGATTAATCACGAAAAATATAAGAGTGTTGCATTAAGTATTGTTATTAATAATGATAAGTAAAAGTATTTGGGTTCAAGTTTGATCATTCGAAAGAGATCGAAATCTCAATAGAATTTATATGGAAATGGAAATTTCTTTCGAATGCTTTCGACTGTCCCTTCATTTCTATCCTAAAATCAAGAAGACGGAATCGCTTAATAAAGTTAGTTTCTTAAGAATTTTATAAAATTTTCTGTATGAAAGAAGTTAGATCAATGGATTCACAATAGATGTCTTACATTTGTCAACTCTGTTCAATTTTTTATCTGCCATTATCATTGGGATATTGAATGTTATAGTTGAAAAAAAAAACATTTTTTAATTGAGTTGCTTCGATTTCAACGTAGGAGACACGGTTTTTAGAAGTGGTCATGCTGACACCGAAAAAAAATCGCTCAGGTCACCAAAATAAAAGTTTAAAGTAGAAGAACTTAAGCATGAAAATTATTGTCAAACTCAACAAGATTTTTAAAATCTACTCAAGCCAAAATTTCATGAGCTTTGCGATGAATTGAAGTCGAGAGATCTTGAAAAACGAAGATCTGGTCCGAAGTTGTGCTTGCTATGAAAGAAGTTAGTTAGTTAGTTAGTTAGTTAGTTAGTTAGTTAGTTAGTTAGTTAGTTAGTTAGTTAGTTAGTTAGTTAGTTAGTTAGTTAGTTAGTTAGTTAGTTAGTTAGTTAGTTAGTTAGTTAGTTAGTTAGTTAGTTAGTTAGTTAGTTAGTTAGTTAGTTAGTTAGTTAGTTAGTTAGTTAGTAGTTAGTTAGTTAGTTAGTTAGTTAGTTAGTTAGTTAGTTAGTTAGTTAGTTAGTTAGTTAGTTAGTTAGTTAGTTAGTTAGTTAGTAGTTAGTTAGTTAGTTAGTTAGTTAGTTAGTTAGTTAGTTAGTTAGTTAGTTAGTTAGTTAGTTAGTTAGTTAGTTAGTTAGTTAGTTAGTTAGTTAGTTAGTAGTTAGTTAGTTAGTTAGTTAGTTAGTTAGTTAGTTAGTTAGTTAGTTAGTTAGTTAGTTAGTTAGTTAGTTAGTTAGTTAGTTAGTTAGTTAGTTAGTTAGTTAGTTAGTTAGTTAGTTAGTTAGTTAGTTAGTAGTTAGTTAGTTAGTTAGTTAGTTAGTTAGTTAGTAGTTAGTTAGTTAGTTAGTTAGTTAGTTAGTTAGTTAGTTAGTTAGTTAGTTAGTTAGTTAGTTAGTAGTTAGTTAGTTAGTTAGTTAGTTAGTTAGTTAGTTAGTTAGTTAGTTAGTTAGTTAGTAGTTAGTTAGTTAATACTTTTAGTCGTAAGGAAGAAGTTAAGTTCTCTGTAAAAGTGGGGTGTAAAACATTGTTGATACTCTGCGATCACCTATTGTAACAATATTTCAAGCGATCTTTCGATTTGTTGATGTTGCCATCATTGATATATTATGCAATGTTAAGGAAATATTTGGATTCATTTAAAACAGATGTTAATTTCTGTTTAAACATTGCCATTATGTTAACTTATTTCTGTATTTAAGACAATTTATTGATTATTTATTTAAGAAATAAGTTTTTCTTTTATTTAATTTTGCAGTAAAGAGGAAATTAAGTGATTTTGATAAATAACAAATAGACAATTTCAATTGTTCAAAATGCATATAAATAAAAGAAAATTACTTTATTTAATTTAAATTCATTTAGTTATTAATTATGAAATATTTCGTAAGTATTTTACTGATCATCAGTATAGCAAGCAGTGTGCCAGTTCGTAAATGGCACAGAAGTAATAACGGCAGTTTATATTTCATAGAAGCAGAAGAAAAGGTAATTTAATTTTAAATAATGCAATTACCAAAAAAAACTTTAAATGATGCTATTATTCTTAGTACAATTGGTATGAGGCTTGGAATGAATGTGCCCGTAAAAATATGTCCTTAATGGCTATAGATACCTTATACAAACACACACAAATTGATACTTTATTAAGAAGAATATTTCGTAAGTATTGGGGGATTTAATCCTTGTTTAAATTGCTTCACATTTTTTTCTAATTATTTAAAAGCTTCGAGTCCCTCTTTATGGATATCGGGTCATGATAATGCAGTCGATAGACGTTATGAATGGGCTACTAGCGGTAAAGTTTTTACCTTTACAAATTGGGGCGCTGGTCAACCGGATCGTTTGAATAATAACGAACATTGTATATTGATTTGGCACAACACCTGGCAGTGGTACGATCTACCGTGTTCACGTAAAATCGGTTTTGTATGTGAGGAAAATGTGTTTCTAAAAGAAAAGAATCGAGAGTTGGCAATGTTGAGGGCATCCTGTCGTAACTTATTATGTTCGGGTTGTAGATCTAGTGATGTTCTATTGAATTGAAAGGGAAGTTGAAAAATAAAAGGAATTTTCGAAAAAGTGTTTATAAATTATAATGAAAAATTTCTTTAAACCGGATTTTTAACCCAAGTTAAAGAGTTTTAAACTGAAAGCGTTACGATTCCCAAATAGTTAATGAGAATTTTTAAATATAGGATACGTAAGGAATTACGAACTATTGACTAGACTATAGATTAGACTATAGACTAGACTATAGACTAGACTGTAGACTAGACTATAGACTAGACTATTGACTAGACTATAGACTAGACTATAGACTAGACTATAGACTAAACTATAGACTAGACTATAGACTAGACTATAGACTAGACTATAGACTAGACTATAGACTAGACTAGACTAGACTATAGACTAGACTATAGACTAGACTATAGACTAGACTATAGACTAGACTATAGACTAGACTATAGACTAGACTATAGACTAGACTATAGACTAGACTATAGACTAGACTATAGACTAGACTATAGACTAGACTAGACTAGACTAGACTATAGACTAGACTATAGACTAGACTAGACTATAGACTAGACTATAGACTAGACTATAGACTAGACTATAGACTAGACTATAGACTAGACTATAGACTAGACTATAGACTAGACTATAGACTAGACTATAGACTAGACTATAGACTAGACTATAGACAAGACTATAGGCTAGACTATAGACTAGACTATAGTCTAGTCTATAGATTAGACTATAGACCACACTAGACTATAGACTAGACTATAGACTAGACTATAGACTAGACTATTGACTAGACTATAGACTAGACTATAGACTAGACTATTGACTAGACTATAGACTAGACTATAGACTAGACTATAGACTAGACTATAGACTAGACTATAGACTAGACTAGACTATAGACTAGACTATAGACTAGACTATAGACTAGACTATAGACTAGACTATAGACTAGACTAGACTATAGACTAGACTAGACTAGACTAGACTAGACTATAGACTAGACTATAGACTAGACTATAGACTAGACTAGACTATAGACTAGACTATAGACTAGACTATAGACTAAACTATAGACTAGACTATAGACTAAACTATAGACTAGACTATAGACTATAGACTATAGACTAGACTATAGACTTAAATCAAACCGTGTAAATTAGATTTTTCTTACTTATCGGACTTGTACCTGAATCAATTATTTTGTACTTGGTTTAAAGAAAACCGTACTTCTTAAATCGCTCCTGATTGATTTGAGTACGAATTACTTAATTTATTTTATGAATGTACACTGTACAGTTATTCCGTAGACGTTGAGAAATTCTTTGTAATTTACCCTAAATAATAAAAAATTTTTACAAAAAATCCACTTTACTATTATGTTGACTTTTGCAAACAACGATAATAAAACGATAATATGAATTTTAACCTCAACTTCCCACCACAAATTTTATCCAAATATATAACTATAAATAATTTTAAATACTCGCAGTTTTCAGCAGTCATAAATTGTAGTTCACAAAATGAATACTTCATTAATACTGCTATCGATAGTAATTGTTTTAAGCTGCTCCACAGCGAAAGCAGGAAATTTTTATACTTCTGCCAGTAATAAGGTATATTATGTGGAACCAGCCTATAATGTAAGTTTTGTTTAATTGATTTAAACAGTAATAAAATGTTAACAGTTTCAATAATTTTGTTTTTAGTACAAATGGTTTGAGGCCCATATCGAGTGTTATAATCGTAATATGACCCTATTTACCATAGAAAATGAAGATTCATTTTATGATCTCTATAATGTTTTAATAAGTGGAAAATTGTAAGGAATGTTTGTAATTATTTTTTAGTTCTACTAATGAAACTTTTTTCATACAGCAATCGCAAACCACCACATCTTTGGATAGGTGCTATTGGGGCTCAACGTAAATTTACTTGGATTTTAAATGGCAAACCTGTCATCTGGAAATATAGCAGTTTTGATAATGCTAGAAATTCAGAAAATTGTTTGCAGATGTATGAAAACACTAAAGATCTTAATGATCGAAATTGTGTGGATCAATTGGGTTTTGTGTGTGAAGAGAATCGTTATCAAAATAACAAGTGTGATCAAATGAAAATGCCGGAAAAACATATAGTCTTAAATATACATCAGCATAAGAACTAGTGTTAATTAGTGGACTTTGTATATTCAAAATTTGTATAAAATAGTTATGGTCTAAGATTTTCTTAGTATATTTAAGAAATAAAAACTCATGTGCTAGATCATGTGGGTTCCATGTCCACTTGATCTAGCTCTGATCTGTTTTAATACTAATTAAATTCTTTCCTTTTAATTTTTATTAATGTTTAACACAATATTATTAGATTTACAGCCATTACCAAAAAGATGTAAATAACTTTCTTTCAATATTGACAATTCCTTATTCTTTTCTTTTAAAAAAGTATTTTCTTCACATAAAAACCCCAGTTTATGAGAGCAGGGTAAATCATACCATTGCCAGGTATTTTGCCAAATCAATATACAATGTTCATTATTATTTAAACGATCCGGTTGTCCGGGACCCCAATTAGTAAAACTGAAAACTTCTCCGCTAGTAGCCCATTCGTAACGTTTATCAACAGCATTATCATTACCAGACAACCAAAATGAGGGAGATGTTGCTAAAGAACGAAATTATACATGTTTTAACTTAAAAACTTGTTATTTATTTTTATCACCAACTTACGAAATAGTCTTCGGATTAAAGTATCGATTTGTGTGTGTTTGTAAAAAGTATCTATGGCCATTAAGGACATATTTTTACGGGCACATTCATTCCAAGCTTCAAACCAATTGTGCTAGAATATAAATTACTATTAACTATATTATCACTTTCGTAAGTTCCTACTTTTGGATCCGTTTCAATGTAGTATAAACTCTTATCATTGCTTCTATGCCATTTTTCCACGGGCACACTGCCGCTTAGTGTGGCAATTAATAAAATACTTATGAAATGTTTCATATCCAACAAATAAATGACATTTAATTTTAACATTTGTTTAATTTTGTAAAACTTTTCTTAAACTATTTCATTTTGAGAATTTTTTTCTTTATCATCACAAACTTCCCCAGAAATATGAACTGTTTTTAAAAAGAAGAAAAAAATTCTTGACCTTGATAATTAGTTTCTGAGTAATTTTTAACGATAAGTTTCAACTTATTTTGCATTTAATATTTTGTATCAGTTACTAAACTGTACAAACTGTTTATGAATTAGAATCAAAACTCTTTCAGAAAATTTTCTTAAAAAAACAAAAATTAGAATGGAATGAATAATTACGAGGAAAAGCAAAACAATAGAAAGATAAATAGTTTAGCTCTCGTCAGCTACTAGGGAGGTACCAGAATTTTTGTTATCGAAAAAACCCGCGGTACACCCACGACTCTTTCGGTACTTTGTCTAAATTATAAGCTGTTGATAAGTAGTTCACATAGCTGGCATTCTGTAGTCTAGTCTATAGTCTAGTCTATAGTGTAGTCTACAGTCTAGTCTATAGTCTAGTCTACAGTCTAGTCTATAGTCTAGTCTATAGTCTAGTCTATAGTCTAGTCTATAGTCTAGTCTATAGTCTAGTCTATAGTCTAGTCTATAGTCTAGTCTATAGTCTAGTCTATAGTCTAGTCTATAGTCTAGTCTATAGTCTAGTCTATAGTCTAGTCTATAGTCTAGTCTATAGTCTAGTCTATAGTCTAGTCTATAGTCTAGTCTATAGTCTAGTCTATAGTCTAGTCTATAGTCTAGTCTGGTCTATAGTCTAGTCTATAGTCTAGTCTATAGTCTAGGTCTATAGTCTAGTCTATAGTCTAGTCTATAGTCTAGTTCTATAGTCTAGTCTATAGTCTAGTCTATAGTCTAGTCTATAGTCTAGTCTATAGTACTAGTTCTATAGTGTAGTCTATAGTCTAGTCTATAGTACTAGTCTATAGTGTAGTCTATAGTGTAGTCTATAGTCTAGTTATAGTTGTTAGTTCTAGTAGTGTTAGTCTAGTTAGTTAGTTAGTTAGTTAGTTAGTTAGTTAGTTAGTTAGTTAGTTAGTTAGTTAGTTAGTTAGTTAGTTAGTTAGTTAGTTAGTTAGTTAGTTAGTTAGTTAGTTAGTTAGTTAGTTAGTAGTTAGTTAGTTAGTTAGTAGTTAGTTAGTTAGTTAGTTAGTTAGTTAGTTAGTTAGTTAGTTAGTTAGTTAGTTAGTTAGTTAGTTAGTTAGTTAGTTAGTTAGTTAGTTAGTTAGTTAGTTAGTTAGTTAGTTAGTTAGTTAGTTAGTTAGTAGTTAGTTAGTTAGTTAGTTAGTTAGTTAGTTAGTTAGTTAGTAGTTAGTTAGTTAGTTAGTTAGTTAGTTAGTTAGTTAGTTAGTTAGTTAGTTAGTAGTTAGTTAGTTAGTAGTTAGTTAGTTAGTTAGTTAGTTAGTTAGTTAGTTAGTTAGTTAGTTAGTTAGTTAGTTAGTTAGTTAGTTAGTTAGTTAGTTAGTTAGTTAGTTAGTTAGTTAGTAGTTAGTTAGTTAGTTAGTTAGTTAGTTAGTAGTTAGTTAGTTAGTTAGTTAGTTAGTTAGTTAGTTAGTTAGTTAGTTAGTTAGTTAGTTAGTTAGTTAGTTAGTTAGTTAGTTAGTTAGTTAGTTAGTTAGTTAGTTAGTTAGAAGTAACCTTAATTTTAAACATTTACCCCCTTATTCACAAACAAAATTTTCATTTTATAAACAGTTTATAAATTAGATTTTGTATGGAAATTTCGTTGCTTAGAGTTGATATAATTCTTTGCTTAGAGTTTATATAATTAAACATTCTGACTTTATGTTTTTGCTCTATAAAGTAGGCATTATTTTTTAAAGTCCTATACCATTCACTTTGTATTCCATGTATAGGAAAAATCACCAATATAATGGCGTACAATTTTAAAGAATTCATCTCGACTGCTGATATACGACTAATGAGATTCGAATGCCAGAGCTGATTTTTATTTAATGCAAAATTTAGGGTTTCCAATATGAAGAATTTTGGTTATTCATTAGCATCCATTAAAAGGATTCTCTTGTAAAAAATATACTTAGTATTCAGATTTAACCTATTTCGAATTACTATATATCAAAACTTTATCTGTGATTATAGCACCTAATTCAGTCTGAAAACAATTCTAAACTTAGCTGCACTGACATTCGGAACAATGAGATCTTAGTATGCACTAGGGTTTCAAAAACAGTTACGATCACTGAATCTAGAACTGTCTAGCAAAATGATATCCATATATACATAGATATCCTCAACGATATAGAGGGAAAAAACAAGTAAGAGTGGTATGCCGAATCTTATATACCCACCATCAAACCGCTTGCCATAAAATGATTGCTCCCCTATAAACATCAGGATGATATTCGGAATATGTCAATTATAGACCGATTGTCGTAAAATTTGCTAGATAGATTTCGGGTCGTATAATTGCCACATTTAATCTCAGCAATCGAATTTATTGCCAGTAATTAGCGTTAAAGTAATTTTCCGAAGGGGCCTTATGTGGGAGGTAGTGTGAGTTACCGACCCATTCCGCATGAAATTCGGTAGGAAGATTAACGCTCTTATTAAAGTTGCTTATGTCGAATTTCATAACTGTACTCGTATATTTAAACCAGCAATGAACGTTAAAGCAATTTTCTATCGGTCAATTATGGACCGATCCTTATAAAATTTTCTAGAGTGATTTTTGCTCATATGGAACTTATTTGTCCTTTAATCGTATTTTTAAAGCAGTTATGACTATTAACTTGTAACCACTTCTATGGGGGCTATGCGAAAACATGGAACGACAACAAGCCTTACCTATAGGAAATTTTTGTTTGTAAAATTTCAACTCTCTAGCTCTTTCCATTCGGACTCTATCGTTCTTTTATCAGACAGATAGACAGACGGACGGACATAGCTAGATCGTCTTAAAATTTAATAAGGACCCAGAATATATATACTTTTGAGGATCTATGACCAATATCTCGATGTTTTGCAAACGGGATGACAAAAACAATATACCCGCATCTATTTTGATCGTAGGTATAATAGCAAATGGAGCCAAAATAAAACAATTAATTATCGGGATGCTGTTGTTTATGTTGAAACGTATTACTACAATTATCACAAATATATACGAATGTAAATATTATAGTTCATACATTAGGCTAGTAATCCCTTATTTTTGTATTTCAGATTAAAATGTTTATATTTTATGAAATTTAAAGTAGATAAAAAAGATAGTAAATTTGAATAACTCAAAATAAATTACTGTTTCCAACATTTAAAGTTAAATATTTTGGTATAATTTTCTTAAAACTAAACTCTCTTATTAAAAGTTTAGTTTTTTTGTTTCTTTTCACAATTAATAATAACTTCCGCAATTTCGAAAATAGGTCTCTCGCAATCTTTTTGTATAACACGATCCTCACAAACGAAACCAATTTTAGAACCACAATTTAAATCATTTAAACCACGCTCATCGCCCCAGAATTCTACACAATTTTCATTATTGGGATAATTATTTGGGCAAATATTGCACCAAAATGAGGGAATTATAGGTTTACCCGTTAAAATCCAGGCAAATTTCTTATTAATACCAATAGCTCCAATCCAAAGATGGGGAGGTTTATGGTAACTAAATAAAAATAAAGTTTTAATTAATGCTAACACAATCTGCCAGTGGATAGGTTTAAACTTACAATGTTCCACCGATCAATAGCTCATAAATATCATCATATTTTTCCTTACTATCAATGGTTAAAAGAGCCATATCTCTGCTGCTACATTCTAGATGGGCATCGTACCAGGTAAACTATATAGAATTATAAAAGTTTAATTTGCTAGCAAATTATCAAAAAAAAAGAGCTATAATATGAAACTTACCGCATATTGATCCTCTATATAATATGTAATATTATTTGAAGTTGTATAAACTTTACCTTGAACTTGAAAAATTGAAAAAATTACCAAGATAATGGTAGAAAATCTTAAAGAATTCATGACGATTGTTACTTTTGAACTGATCAATTACAAATCATATTTTTGATACTTAAATAAAGTATTCAATTCAATTTGGTTGGAGTTTTAAGATAAGATAAGCGTTTTTTGTCAACAAAATGTCTATAAACCAATTAATTTCATTAATATCGTATAATATTTTTCGGACACTGAAAAAAAAACTAATCCGGAGCGGTTGAATTAAATACATTTCAGTTAAGTACGAAAAATCTAATTTAAACCATTTTTGGTGGGTCAAAGTGTATTGTAAGATGACTTATTTATGCATACTTGATTAGAGATAAAAATAAGATTGATTTAAGTATTTAAAATATTGAATTGATACCAAAAGGGCTTGAATTGAGTACGATTCGTACTTGATTGCAGAAGGTTAATTACAAAAATATATAGTTAAATAACTGATACTAAAACTATAATTAGCATTTAAACACACATACATTCATATTAAATATGATATCATTTGTATAAAACTCAACTATTTATTGCAAAAATATTCTTAACTAAATGAGAATTATATTGAATTATATTGAGAATGAATGAAGTATGAAATTAAGTAAGAAATGAGATTGGAAAAGATTCAGTTAAAACTCGCTTAAAAATTGATTTTCATATTCAGTAAAATAACTTTTGCTATAGATTTGTTTAATCAATCCCGATGTGTAATTATTTTAAGAATGAGCAATGGTTTTAAGTAATAGAATTATTGTCAAATTTTTAATTACGTTTTAGTCTAAAGTTGAGAAAAATGAAGTTAAATTTAGTATACGATTTTTCTTTGTGTAGCAATCCGTTCATTCTAGAAATTTTATTTATATAAGTATATTTAATATATTTTTGTTTGCAATCTAATTAAAAATAAATTAAAAGCTGTACAAATAAAGAATACAAATGAAAACAAACCTAAATATTAATTAAGTCCATAGACTAGACAATAGGATAGTACATATAATATTCAATATATTGGTAGCTAGACAATAGTCTAGTCCATAGAATAGCCAATAGACTAGGCCATAGACTTGTTAATAGACATATCAAAAACTAGTTCCAATACTAATCCAAAGAAAATAGTACATAGACTTTACATTAGACTAGTACATAAACATATTAATAGATTAGTACATAGACTAATCAGTAGTCTAGTGTATAGAATAGTCCATTAAGTAGTCCACAGAATTGGTTAAGTTTTTACATAACCCATATTCTATTGACCCATGTATGAACTGGATCATTTAATACACTAGATTATGGGGTATTCATTAGACTAGTACATACATTAGACTAGTCCATAAACTAATCAATAGACTAGTCAGTAGTCTGGTACATAGAATAGTCTATTAAGTAGTCCATAGATATAGCCAATAGACTAGTCCATAGCCTAGCCAAGAGACTGGTCCATAAACCTATTAATAGACATATCTAAACTAGTCATAATACATTGAACATAGTCCATAAATTATACGTTAGATTAGTCCATGAACTAGTCAACATATTAGTACATATTAGTACACATAATTGCCAATAGACTAGTCCATAGATTTGTCAATAGGCATGTCTAAAAACTACTCCAAATACTAATGCCTAGTTATTATGCAATAGACTAGTCCATATATAAACGACTAATCAATAAATTTAAAACACTAGATTAGCCCATAGTCAATAGACTAGTCAGTAGTCTAGTCCATAGAATATCCAATAGACTAGTTCATTGACTTGTGAATAGACGTGTCTAAAAAGTAGTCCAAATACTAATCCATATACTCAATAGCTTAGTTATTATGCAATAGACTAGACAGGTATTTATAAAAGACTAATCAATAGACTCTTGACCCATCTATAAACTGGATCATACGGGCTAGTCAGTAGACTAGTCCATAGACTAGATTATGAACTCTTCCATAAACTAATCAATGGATTAATACATATACTAGTCAGTAGTCTAGTATATACTTAGAATAGTTCCATAAAATAATAGACTTAGACTAGATTTTATGTAGTTCATAGACTATTGACCCGTCTATGAACTGGATCACTCAACATACAAGATTATGGACTAGTCAATATACTAGTAACTAGTCAATATACTACACATTACACTACTCCATAAACTAATCAATATACTAGTACCTAGACTAGTCAGTAGTATAGTAGATAGAATAGTCCATTAAGTAGCCAATATAATAACCTATAGCCTAGTCCATATAATATTCTATAGCCTAGTCGACGTGCTATACATTATAGTCCATAAACTAGTCATTCGATTAGTTTATATACTAGACTAAAGTATTGTCATACACTGCTCAATACATATGTATAACAGTCAATAATAAAGTCCGAATAATAGTCCATAGGCAAGTGAATTGACTTATCCAAAGAACACTCCATATACTAGTTCATGTATTAGTCCATAGAATAGTCTATATACCAGTACATATACTTACCTATACACTAGTCTAAAGACTAAAGACTAGTGTTATAGTTAAATCGCAAACGTTTCAAGAACCATTAGTTTACTCGGAGACTATATTATTATTGCCCTTCACACTCTTTAAAATTTATATAAAACCATTACATTTTTATAAATTCATTTCCTATAAATATCTTTTATTATTAACATTTCAATTTTCACACTTCATAATAACTTCAATAATGTTGCATAATATTTATTATACAATTCGATTTTATTTCCTTGCAATTTTCTTGCTTTTTACGATCCTCACAAACAAAACCAATTTTTGAATCACAATTTAAATCATTCAAACCATGTTCATTGCCCCAGAATTGAACACAATTTTCATTGTGGGGATGATTATTAGGACAAATGTTGCACCATAATGAGGGGATTATAGGTTTACCCGTTAAAGTCCAGGCAAATTTCCTATTAATACCAATAGCACCAATCCAAAGATGAGGAGGTTTATCGGCACTTATTTAGAATAAAGTTTAACTTATATGCTTTTACAATCTAAATAATGGCTAGAGTTAAACTTACAATGTTCCACCGATCAATAGCTCATAAATATCATCATATTTTTCCCTGCTATCAATTGTCAAAAGAGCCATATCTCTGGTGCTACATTCTAGATGAGCATCATACCAGGTAAACTGAAATTATAACATCAATTACTGTACTTTTATAACTTTTATATCAAAAAATGAACTCACCGCATATCTATCCTCTATATAATAAGTAATATTGTTTGTGGTTGTATAAACTTTACTTTGAACATGGAATATGGGAAAAATTAGCAATAAAATGGCACAAAATCTTAAAGAATTCATATCGATTGTTACTTTTAAACTATTCAAATACAAATGCCAGTATAGAATCTTAAATACTTTTAAAATACCAAGCAAAGATGTTCAATATATTGAGATTCATTAGAATTGTTTTGAATTTTAAGAATACAATAATTTTTGTTAAAAGCTACAGATAAGAGCTTTTTTCTCTAGAACAGTGCATATGTTTAATATTTTTTTATATTAACCCGTTTATACAAAAATAAATACATATTCTGAGATTTATTTATGTGTATTTATATTTAATTTCCCTTAGATATATGTACATATATATACTAATCTTATTCAAATTATATTAAAAGCTGTACAAATATACAATTACTTAATACAAATAAATTGTTTTCAAATAACAATAGATCAACAATAATATTGAATGCGTGACATCATTCAAACCTCCAGAATTTTTAATGGTGACCAGGATCGGAGAGTTTCTATGGCATAAATCTGTATTTATTTGAATATTGTCTTAGATCTTAGTGATAATAAGGTCATCGATCACTTGTTCATAGACTAGTCAATAAATTACAAAATAGAGTAGTCAATAGACTTATCCATGGAATAGTCCGCAGACTAGATAATCGACGAGTTCATAGACCTGGCAATTGGCTAGCCAATAGAATAGTCCACTGACAAGTCAATAAACTAGTCCATAGTCTAATACACAGATTAGTCAATAGACAAGACTATACACTAGTCAACAGTCCTCAAAGTAGTGAATAGACAAACCCATAGAAGAGTCCACAAGCATGTAAATAAATTAGTCATTAAACTAGTCCACAGACTAATGAATAGACTAGCTCTTAGATTAATCAATAGAGCAGTAAATTTTGAATATTCTAGTCCGCTGACTAGTCCATATACTAGTATATGGACTAATCTAAACACTAGTCTACTGACTAGTACAGACTAGTCTATTGACTAGGTTATATACTAGTCGACATATTTGTCAGTAGACTAGTCCACAGAATAGACAATCAGAATCTAGTCTATAGTCTAGTCTATAGTCTAGTCTAAGTCTGAGGTCTATGTCTAGTCTATAGTCTAGTCTATAGTTCTAGTCTATAGTCTAGTCTATAGTCTAGTCTCTAGTCTAGTCTATAGTCTAGTCTATAGTCTTAGTCTATAGTCTAGTCTATAGTCTAGTCTATAGTCTAGTCTATAGTCTAGTCTATAGTCTAGTCTACAGTCTAGTCTTAGTCTAGTCTATAGTCTAGTCTATAGTCTAGTCTATAGTCTAGTCTATAGTCTAGTCTTAGTTCTAGTCTATAGTCTAGTCTATAGTCTAGTCTATAGTCTAGTCTATAGTCTAGTCTATAGTCTAGTCTATAGTCTAGTCTATAGTCTAGTCTATAGTCTTAGTCTATAGTCTAGTCTATAGTTAGTCTATAGTTCTAGTCTATAGTCTAGTCTATAGTATAGTATAGTCTAGTCTATAGTCTAGTCTATAGTCTAGTCTATAGTCTAGTCTATAGTCTAGTCTATAGTCTCTAGTCTTATAGTCTAGTCTATAGTCTAGTCTATAGTCTAGTCTAATAGCTAGTCTTAGTCCTATAGTCTAGTCTATAGTCTAGTCTATAGTCTAGTCTATAGTCTAGTCTATAGTCTAGTCTATAGTCTAGTCTATAGTCTAGTCTATAGTCTAGTCTATAGTCTAGTCTATAGTCTAGTCTATAGTCTAGTCTATAGTCTAGTCTATAGTCTAGTCTATAGTCTAGTCTATAGTCTAGTCTATAGTCTAGTCTATAGTCTAGTCCTATAGTCTAGTCTATAGTCTAGTCTATAGTCCTAGTCTATAGTCTAGTCTATAGTCTAGTCTATAGTCTAGTCTATAGTCTAGTCTATAGTCTAGTCTATAGTCTAGTCTATAGTCTAGTCTATAGTCTAGTCTAAGTCTAGTCTATAGTCTAGTCTATGTCGAGTCTATAGTCTAGTCTATAGTCTAGTCTATAGTCTAGTCTATAGTCTAGTCTATAGTCTAGTCTATAGTCTAGTCTATAGTCTAGTCTATAGTCTAGTCTATAGTCTAGTCTATAGTCTAGTCTATAGTCTAGTCTATAGTCTAGTCTATAGTCTAGTCTATAGTCTAGTCTATAGTCTAGTCTATAGTCTAGTCTATAGTCTAGTCTATAGTCTAGTCTATAGTCTAGTCTATAGTCTAGTCTATAGTCTAGTCTATAGTCTAGTCTATAGTCTAGTCTATAGTCTAGTCTATAGTCTAGTCTATAGTCTAGTCTATAGTCTAGTCTATAGTCTAGTCTATAGTCTAGTCTATAGTCTAGTCTATAGTCTAGTCTATAGTCTAGTCTATAGTCTAGTCTATAGTCTAGTCTATAGTCTAGTCTATAGTCTAGTCTATAGTCTAGTCTATAGTCTAGTCTATAGTCTAGTCTATAGTCTAGTCTATAGTCTAGTCTATAGTCTAGTCTATAGTCTAGTCTATAGTCTAGTCTATAGTCTAGTCTATAGTCTAGTCTATAGTCTAGTCTATAGTCTAGTCTATAGTCTAGTCTATAGTCTAGTCTATAGTCTAGTCTATAGTCTAGTCTATAGTCTAGTCTATAGTCTAGTCTATAGTCTAGTCTATAGTCTAGTCTATAGTCTATTCTATAGTCTAGTCTATAGTCTAGTCTATAGTCTAGTCTATAGTCTAGTCTATAGTCTAGTCTATAGTCTAGTCTATAGTCTAGTCTATAGTCTAGTCTATAGTCTAGTCTATAGTCTAGTCTATAGTCTAGTCTATAGTCTAGTCTATAGTCTAGTCTATAGTCTAGTCTATAGTCTAGTCTATAGTCTAGTCTATAGTCTAGTCTATAGTCTAGTCTATAGTCTAGTCTAGTCTATAGTCTATAGTCTAATCTATAGTCTAGTCTATAGTCTAGTCTATAGTCTAGTCTATAGTCTAGTCTATAGTCTAGTCTATAGTCTAGTCTATAGTCTAGTCTATAGTCTAGTCTATAGTCTAGTCTATAGTCTAGTCTATGGTCTAGTCTATAGTCTAGTCTGGCCTCAAATGCCTTGATTTGAAATAAAAATAAAATTGATTTAAGTATGTAAAAGATATAATTAATCCCAGAATGGGCTTAATTAAAGCTAATTTCATAGTCGATTTAGAATTCAGGGCAATTGGTCTTTTTATATATGTAGTTATAATTTTGTTCAAACTAAAACATTCTAATTTGTTTTTTCCAAATTATAAACATTGTAATGTTTTTATTCGAAAACCATGAGTAGTGTAGGTTTTACAATAAATAACTTGTGATAAACTAAACCCGTGTGTGTGTGTATAGTTACTGCCCTTTTATCGCCTTAAAGTTTGTTGGGATTTTTTTTTTTTTTTTTTTTTTTTGGATAAAACCACATAATTTTGATAAGAAACATTAAAACACTTTTCAAAATACTCATATTAAATGCATGGTAAATAATTTTTAAATATCATTAATGAAACAATCAGCATGAAAGTAATATGGATCTTTGTACTTGTGGCCCTAGTTGGTCTGGAATATACTGCCATTTTGGGAGCACCTCTAACGAAATGGTTTAAAACCGATAATAATACCTACTATATAGAAGAGCAGATAAATGTAAGTCTAAGCAATAAAAAAATTACAATTTCCCTTAAAAATCTATTCTTTCCTTTAGTACACCTTTCAACAATCCTATGATGAATGCCAAAAGAAAAATATGGGTTTAATAACTTTGAAAACCTATAAAGAGGATGAATTACTGTTGAAATATTTGGCTCAAACATTTGGTAAGTAAGAAAAGAGGAATTTTGGAAAATTAGTAAATATTTCCTGATTTTTTTGTTTTCTAGATCCTCAACCAGAATTTTGGCTTAATGCTGTCGAAAAAGTTGATATGCAGGATATTAATAAATTATTGGATTCTTTTAAGCTGGCCACCCTTTTAAATATCAAATTAGATGGTGTTAATGAACCACAAATTATACAATCTAATAATCCTAATAATTGTGCCGTTAACGTCGAGGGTGCTACTAAGGACTGTGATATATTACGTGGTTTTATATGTCACGAAAATAATACCAAAACTAGTGGTGGTGGTCAGAATATACAAAATATTGTGTTGAAATTTAATTGAAATAATTATATTGTATGTGGAAAATGGTTAATATTTTAAAACTACAATAAAAGTAAACAAGTGAGAAGGGGACTTACTAAATATTTCCTAAATTCCTTAAACCCTAAAACAAACAATTCGCCACTTAATTTCACAAATCTCATTGTTAAGTGATTTCAGATATTTGTGCACAATTCACATTATCATCGAGTGTATAGTTGAGACTCATGAGTCCTTAATAGCTGGTGGTATGCTTTACTAATGCTACTAATTGTTTCACTGTAATTTCCTAAAATAGTTTAAACATTGACATTGTTCGTTTTTTTTATGAAATTTTTTATTTAATTTTCCTGTCCAACAAGAAAAACATCATGTCATTACATGTTGTGACATGCTAGTGGAAACGGTGTGTTAAATAAGAAAACTAAAAAAAGTTAAACATTTTTAACACCTCATACCAATGTGTTTAAATTGTCAGTGATTATGTTTAACTCCATAAAATGAGCTGTGTACGAGTGTAGTTTTTTTTTTTTTTTTGAGATACATACTTCAAATATACACAGCGTAAAACTGAAGTGTAGATAGATAGAACCTTAAAAGGAACAATATCAAAATAGTCATTTTGCCAAGTCTACTACAGCAAATCATAGGGGACCAATGATCAGAGTGTTAAAAGAAGGAAGTGATTATGGCACCAATCTGAAAGTACTCACGGAGTTTTTATTTTAATTACATATCTTCAACACTATAGTCTATAGTCTAGTCTATAGTCTAGTCTATAGTCTAGTCTATAGTCTACTCTATAGTCTAGTCTATAGTCTAGTCTATAGTCTAGTCTATAGTCTAGTCTATAGTCTAGTCTATAGTCTAGTCTATAGTCTAGTCTATAGTCTAGTCTATAGTCTAGTCTATAGCCTAGTCTATAGTCTAGTCTATAGTCTAGTCTATAGTCTAGTCT